GTGGGTTTGAGGAACTGACTGTTCCTTACAAAGCCTCTTATAAAAACATCAAAATAATCTGTGACAGCAGTCATGTGTACTGTAAAATAAATTCATAAAGGTGGGGAATGAACCAAATTGCACACATTTGGTCTTACAGAAGGAATTCATGGATTAGTTTTGCATTTCTCATGCCTAAGTACGGACAGACACATTTTACAAAGACGACTGGCAAATTATTCATATTTAGGACGTGATTTTACAAAACCCAGTGGCAGATTGAGAGGAAAACAAAAGATATCCAAGAGAAATGATTCACAATCCCATTTCAGGGGTTGCCTACAGATGACAGGGTAGAGGGGTGCTCACAGTGATAAGGGTGCAAATGCCCTGAAACAAGGACTGAATTTGTCTCTGGGTGTTAACGACAGCCACGTTTCCCACAGTTTCTCTGCCCGTTCCCTGTCCCTCCCTGCGTTCTCCATCCCAGGAGAGCAATGGAAGTGTGGGGTCTGTGTCAGCACTGCCCTGGGCTGAACGGCTGAAAGGAGCCCAGTGGGGAGCTGCCCTGGAGAGGAACTGCAGGGCTCACAGAGAACACCCAGGCACCGCTGCATCCTCCATCCCGCATTTCCCAACTCATCTCCTCAGACACGAGCAAAGGGAACCAGAGAGCAGTATCACTGCTGGCAGTTTCTCTGTTTGACAGCCACGAGTTTTGTTTTTCACTCTGGGAAGGCATCACCCACTGGGGAAGGTTGAGAAACACCGGCTGAGTGGGAGACCGTGGGAACGGGCGTCCTGAGCGCCCGATCGCAGGCAGATCTGTGCCAGTGATTCACTGCACTGCCTTACGCCAGGCTCCCAGTCAGTGTGGTTGGGGTTGAAAAGAAAAAACAAGAATGTTTTCTTTTCTGCCCAGTGTCTCTAAAGGGGCCTGAGGAAGTGGTGGATCTTCGTGAAGGACTGCGGGATCCATCAGCATGCACTGATGCCACTGAGCTGGCAAGGAAAGGGGCAGCTGATGACGTTTGCAAGGATACCCCCATCTCGCTCCTACTGCAAAATCACCATCATTTTTATATAACCCTTGCAGAATCAACTCACACCTGACAGCAGCACCCAGGAGGCTCCTGAGGAGCTCAGATAGGGTTTGCTTGGAGGAGCAGCCTGTGCCGGGGCTGCCCTGCCCCATCGTAGCAGCTCTGGGGACCACTGATCCCTGGCGCTTCTTGATCCTGTACTTCTTTCCAAACATGTAACTTCCTTTCAGTATTTTTACTGCCAGTTATCCAATTATCTACCAGCTACACATCCAGCCCTGCCGAAGACATTCCCCTGAAACAAGTCCTCATGAGAGCAAAGCAGAAACTCGGGGAATTTGAGGTGTGGGAAGCAGAATCCCCATGGCCGTGGGCAGCTCCGCACTGCAGCGCAGACACGGGAATGTGGTGTGGTGCAATGGGCTGTGCAACCCCGCTGCCGATGTACACCCGTACACTGACACGTTCTCATCACCCATAGAAATAAGGAAACATTGCTGAGCAGTCAGGATAAACAATACAACATTACTATTACTACTTTTACTACCCAGCATTGGTCACACTGTCTTCTTCTTTACCGAAGATCGGTACCTTTCTCAACAAGGTACTCTTACAACGTTCCTTGCACCTAATGAGTCTGCATCTATAACCCAGATAAGCTTCATAATAAAGTTTATTTGCTCTCTGTTACAGTAGGTGACAAAATAAATACAAGCCACCAATAAACTTAAAAAAATACCTATTAGCCATGGCTATCGTGCTCACTACAGACCAAAAGAAGCCTGAATTTAGACTGTTTCTTACCATACCCTGGAAGAAAATGCCAGTGTAAGTCTGCTTTCCCTTTTCCAGTTGGTATCTACAACATCTGCACCCAGGCCATCCCTAGCACTTGCTCACTGAGAGAACACGTTGTAATAACAACAACGCAAAACAACTTGGGTGGAGGAACTGAGCTAGAAAACCCAAACTACTGCAAAGCAGGGGCAAGAAATGCGGATGCTGTAGTGTCAGTGTCAAAGCATAGGGCATGCCTGGAGTGGGACTCCAGCGATACTGAGAGCAGCGAGGAGAACCTTGCTCTTTTTATTTGCATGCATTTTGTTAGGCATTAATCTGCATAATAAGCTTTAATTTTATGAGCACATAATGTTGCAATTCGGATACTTATCTGGTGTTCCTATAAGTGCTCTGAGAAGAAAATTGTGGTGCGTGTTGAAACAAGACCTCCAGAGCGGCCTTGGGCAAAAATAAATGTGTGCACACACTCCTGTGTGTTTGGCTTCAGCACTCCCAGAGCAACTCATTTCTCCATCTGAAGACACAGATGCAGTTTCAAAACTGCCTATGTGTACATTCTGCTGATCTCTCTTTTGGTGAGCACCAACTGTCAGCCCTGTGAATTGTCCACTGCTGCATGGGCTGCATTCACGGGTTACAGAGTTAACACAGCAAAGTTCACTGTTTCACCGCACTGCTGGGGGAAGGAAGAAATGGAAAACCTTTGTAGATCCCACTCATCCCACAGGAATGTCCCAGTGGCTTTTCTGCACTTTCGTGAGGGGTAACACAGGCTGCATGGGCAGTCATTGCTTAGAGTGCGGGGGCTTTTTTGTGGCAATAGTTCTCTATATGGACAGGGATACAGGGGCCAAATCCCCCAAAGGCAGGAGGCAGAAATGGGATTTAGCTACGCTTGGGCTGAAGTGCAGAGCTCCGATTCACAACTCCTGCCCCAGTGGGTGTTTAACCACAGATCTGGGATCCGAGCAGCAGGCACTCTTCCCATCAACCTGCTCACGTGCAAGATCCAAGTTACCCTGCACAAACGCATTTGTGAGGAGGCTGCCAGCGGTGTTAAACTGCACAGGCAAGCTCCCTGCTTCCCGTCCTGCCAAAACACAGCCTGGCTGTGAACGGAGTTTGTCTCCACTTTGATGCCAGGCACTCACATCTTGACACAGATCACGGAGTTAACAGGAAAGCAGTCACAGCAGGTGCAGCAGTCGGCTGTGCCCCAGCCGAGGATGTACTGGGCCTGACAAGAGCAGCAGCAGTGTCCAAACACTGAGCAGTGCTGGTGCCTGTACTAAGAAACGTCCTTGTTTGGGGCTGCTTTGGAAACAGTCCCCTTAGGTAGCAAACTGGATGGTGTATCCACACAAACTGGGCATCATATGTAGGAAAGAGACGAGAAAAAGTCCTAAATTGCCACTTCCTTGTAAGTAACTCTGTTAACTATAAACTTTACATCATCTATATAACTTATTAGCAAAAGCATCAGAGAACAAGCATTTCTGAAGGCTCTTTAAATGAGCCTGGAAAGGAAAAATTCTTCCTGTCCACAGAATGGACCTTCTCTGCCCTGTAAATATTTGCACAGTTAAATGTTTAATAATCAATACATTAAAATACGCCAGGAGGGAATTCAATGTATGCAACTTTACACGAGGATGAAGTACTCACAGTTCACCTGCATTTTCCAGGTACCTCCGTGTTACAGTCCAAAGGGACATACTACATTTTTGAGAACATGGTGACTGTGAAAGAAAAAATACCACAAGGGCACATTTTCAGCTGTTAAGAACACAGCACATCCTAACAGCCAACAGGATTTCAACAAAAAGCACTAAGATTGAAACAGTAACAAAAATGAAATAATAGCAACACTAAAGACAAAAGAGGAACATCCTGGGAGCTCGACTTCAAAGCTACCCAAGATCTAAAGGCAAAACCTTTTATTTGTGTTCCTCCTTCATGTGTAAGTAGTGGTAATAACACAGAACTACAATGAAATGTTGAGCTGAAGTTCTCCACCATCAGTAGCTTGACTCTTTTCTTTCATTGCTTTTATTTTTGACGGCATTTTCCAAGCATACACTGAGATATGTCCCCAGCAGCAGAACCCCCCAGTATGGACAAGTCCCTGCTGTGAACAAGTACACAGAGAGAGAGACAACCTATAGATAAAACAGGAATCAATGTAGGTCCTCAGAAAGTACTTAGACAGATCAAGAGACTCTTTTGGCAAATGTTTTACTTCGTTTTAATAATTCCAGGGAATTTTTTGCTCACTGACAAACCCATAGATTGTTCTAGCTTGTCTATGCAAAGCATTTGTAGGGAATATCACGGGAATGACTGATGGAAATTCAAATGTTGTTAGATGTTCTACTTACCACAGTGGAACTTGTGAAAAAGGGCCCCATTGACCACAGCGACTTTACCCAGATATAAAGACAAAACTACGCTAAAAAGAAAAGCATTCTGCACACAGTAAAGGACATAAGGACGTCTTTCAGCACCAGTAACTGAACATGCAGAAGCCAGAAACTGTTTACACTGCCGAGGTGACACCACCATCCTCCAGCTGCGGATCAAGGCAAAATTATCCCATCATCACACTACTTGAGGTCTTTCATCATCGTTGAGCCATTGAGTATATCAAATGGCAAGATAAAATCAGAGAGCTTTTGAAAGAGATTGCACAAGCAGCAATAAAGCAATGCTGGCAAAAATGGAGCACGAAGGATGGGGCAAGGGATTCAATCAGAAAAGGTTAAATAATCCTTAATTTAACGTGAAAAACACCTGAAGTTAAGCAGCAGAAGTACAGTTTGTAGAAGGACCAGTGCCCAGCTGTGCTCTGCTTCATTCAGCACCTCAGCTTCAGGGGGAGATCACTGCATTTCCCAAACACCTCACAGTTGCTGCATTTCAGATACCACACAACTGCTGCATTTCCCAAATACCTCACAGGTGTCACGGGGCAGTGACCCATGGGGATGAAAAGCAATGGAGAGATTCCAGTGGCACAGAACCAAAGTGTCACTGGAAAAGGGCACACTGTCTGCCCAGCATGTGGTGACAGCCTGGGGTCCCTCCACAGCCACACACCAATGCTGATGGCTTTGCTTTGGGTTGCAATTAAGCAGCAGGGACCAGCTGTCTGCATGAAAGAAATCTGTACTGTATTAGAAAATAAGATGTAAATGTCTCATTAAAGCTTGCAGTGTGAGCACAGAGCTGGGTGGATGCTGAGGAGCAGAGACTCTGCATCTGAACCAGAATATTGACTTTTCCTCAAGACGGAGCTGACACATTGAACACCAGTGTATTTCTGTGTGTGAAAGTCTCCTGGAATCCCTCAGCACTGGGTGCCCAAACTTCTCAGGGGTTTTTCAGACACATCCCCAGACGCTCTGCTTTAGCACCGATCTAACGACAGAGGATGAAAACCACTGCCAGTCCATCTTGGGCAAACAGCGCAAGACTGCAGTCTGTGTCGTTTCTTTTGTGGCCTCAGCAGTCTGATTTCCACTGATTTGTGTAAAAGCCTTGCAACATTTCTCTCAGGATACATTTTAGAGTCTCAAGGATCCCTGCAGTAAGAGCACTAAATACAATTACTCTATCAACTGCTATATGACACTAACGAAAGAGAGAATGAGGAGTTTTAGATTAAACCGTAACAGCTCTTCCCACACAGTAGTTTACAGGTCATTGTCTGCATTAATAGAACTTCTAACTGTGCTACAATTGACTGTATAATGCAATTAAATTATCCTTAATCTTCCTACTCTTTTAGATCAACAGCTCTCTGGCGGAAAAAACCCAGCACTTTTTTTCTCTTTGATTTCTAGGACTGAGCTACGCAGTGTGCTGTGTAATCACTTTCTTCACAAAGGGAGGATTTTGATTTTTAAAGAAGAATCCAACTGCGTTGCCTGAAATAGGCTTCCCATATTCTATTCTAGTTCTATTAATTAAACTCTTGTGCTATCATGTATAGTGAGAAAAAGAACACAAGCAGTGTAGATCTTAAATGCACAAAATATGAAAGCGCGAAAGAGAACGGCAGCCTTTGAAAACAGCAGCTAGAAAAATCTGAGCCAAGAAAGAACATTAATAATTGAAGAACTAAATGCAGAGTCTAATGTGTGATGTGGGCCTCATCTTATTTCTTTTAGGTGAGAACTCAGAACAAAAAGTCTCCGTGTAGTCCCATCGGGTGCACTTGATCTCAACACCCGCTCCAACAGGATCCTCAACTGGCTAAAGCAGAGCCAGGCTGTAGGAGGCACACGACTGCCTGCTCCAGAAACGGCTCAATGAGAAGAATGCCACCCAAAAGTAGTGAAATGCTTGGTCTTAAACAAACACCATAAACCCAACGATGGGTTAGATCGCAGGAGATATCAGCACAAAAATATTGTTCAGCAAATTATTCTTGGCACAAACAACCAGGTTGGTAAATGCCCTGGGAGAAGGGAACTCCCTGATGGTGACACCCACTGTCAAAGGTTTAAATAGAGAGAGCTGGGGGTGAAAACCTGCAGTCCTGACTCTTATCAGGCTGTGCACCTCGATTTGGGATTGTGGTTAGACTCCGACCTGCTGTCACCATGAGCTGTGGCACTAAATCTTCATCGAGCGCCATTAGAATTAGCAGTGGAGGTGGTGGTGGTGGTGGTGGAGGATGTGGTGGCGGAGGTGGTGGAGGAGGCAGCAGCTGTGGAGGGCGCAGGTCTGGCGGATACTCCTCCATGTCCTCTAGGAGATACACCTCTTCTGGAGGAGGTGGAGGTTTTTCGGGGAGAAGCTTTGGTGGAGGCATTTCCAGGAGCAGCTATGGCGGGGGCTTCAGCAGCGGCAGCTGTGGCAGGATTAGCCGCAGTAGCTATGGTGGGAGAATGAGCGGTGGTAGCTACGGAGGAGGAATGGGCTGTGGCAGTATGGGAGGAGGATTTGGATCAGGAGGGGGTGGCTACGGGGGAATGGGAGGTGGTTATGGAGCTGGCCTCGGTGGAGGTAGCTTTGGCGGCGGTGGATACAGTGGAGGTGGATTTAGCGGCTTCACAGGTAGTGGTGGCTTTGGTGGTGGCAGCTTTGGTGGAATGGGATTTGGTGAAGATGGTGGCTTGCTCTCCACAAATGAGAAGTTGACCATGCAGAACCTTAACGATCGCCTGGCTTCTTACTTGGATAAAGTGCGACACTTGGAGGAAGAAAATGCTCAACTGGAACATATGATCAGGGAATGGTACAAAAACCAAGGTCCCAGCGGTACCAGGGACTACAGCCAATACTACAGAACCATTGAAGAGCTGCAGAACCAGGTACGATGTCATTTGTCTGACTCTGAACAGCTTCCCATTCGAGCGGCACTGGCCTCCTGCAGCACAGGAGCCCCGTTTGGGGCAGCGCCTTCCCTTCGTCACTGCAGAGAGCGCGGCGGCACAGCCCAAATGCCGCCTGTCCTCTGCCACAGGCGAGGCGCGTGTCCTAGCACTCTTGTACCAGTGCAGGGGCTGTGCGGTGCAAGGGCAGACTGTGTTGGTGCAGCCGTTATGGGGCTGTCCAGTGCTCCCGTCAGTGCTGTGCTCCAGCCTGTCAGCTCCTCACGTTCTCCAACGGGAGATATAACCATTGCTTGCTTATGTTTTGCTACCACAGGCAATAGTGATTGCATCTTTTTGTGAATATTTGAGATGAGCCAAAATGTGCATTCAGTCTAACCTCACCCCCAGCCATTTCATGGTCCCATATCTCCTCCATGAATGTGGTTGTTGACAAATGCAATGGGAATTACGTTTTCCCACTGATTTTGGAATATGAGGACTTTATTTAGTTATTCTTGCCAACTTACTATGTTTTTAATGGATATTTGTAAACCAAAATTGACAGCGAAGGCACTCTCTTTTCCCTGGAAGCAATAAACTCTTCTCTCTGTACAGCTCCTGCAGCACTGGTCAGGCTTGACATGACCAGAAAATACTGGGAAATGGTTTCTGCATGGGCATTCCTGCCCTTTGTCTGTGTACAGACTGGAAACACAGCCGATCGAATAACACCTGCCTCTCTCTTTCAGATTGTGGGGGCAAACGTGGACCTGAACAAGACCCTTCTCGACATCGACAACACCAGGATGACCGTGGATGACTTCAGGCTGAAGTGAGTTTTCCCTCCCTGTCCCACTCCACCTCTCTTCTCTCTGTCCCTGAGCTCATATAGCATTGACCTGGGCAGTCTCTTGGTCCAGTGACAGAATAAGTCACTGTAGGGAAAAGCATTCTGAGAATGGTTTGGTTCGTTTTTCACTATTCTTTTTCTCCAGAGAAGTTATTGAAGAGTGCCATTTAAAGGACTACATCTAAGTTTCTCCATCCTTCTATGTAGATTTATAAGCATAATCCTCATTGTATAAATCTCACAAATTCTACTGAAATCAAACAATCCTGTTGGGAGATAGAAATGGAAATAGGTCCTTTCTTTTAAGAACTGAGCAATGGGATTAAAGACCGAAGATGTCCTGTGGGAACTGTTCATAACTGAATCAAAGAGGTCTGGCAGCACTTCTATTGTCTCTCTTGTCTGTCGTGCAGGTACGAAACTGAATACACTCTCCACCAGAGCGTGGCAAGTGACATCAATGGACTACGTCCACTTTTGGACCAGCTGACTCTGGCCAGATCTGACTTGGAGACACAGTTTGAATCCCTGAAAGAGGAACTGATCTATCTTAAGAAGAACCATGAAGACGTAAGTTTCTCCACACTTTAAAATCATAACTAATGAAAACTCAACACTCAGAGAATATCCTGTGGATTTTGTCCACTAGCAGTTACCAGATATTGGCCGCTGGCTTTGACCACAGCCTGGCACAACGTGGCTTTGATTTTCAGGACGCGGTATCCATAGTTGCCCACAGTTGGTGTAGCGAGACACCCGGGTCAACATGTGGCAAAACGGGCTCAGGGAAATGAATGGCTTTCAGTAAAAGGAACAAGTTTGTTGCTTAACCCATGGAAGGAAAAATGGATAGAATAGATGGAGGAGTCAAAAGAAAATATTTCTACTGTCTGCAATGATTTTTCCCTTTGGGAAGAAAAAGGTGTGAAAGGATTTTCACAAAGAGCACGCTGCCCAGAAGTCCTCATGAGCCCGAGGAGAAAATGTCAGGGTCAGTGTGTGGTGCCTGGCTGCTGTTCACTGTAAAGTTTGGCTCAGGAATGGCAGGATTGGTCCCTGTCATGACAGGGGCAGACGAGGCCCCTTTGCAGGAGCGATGTGGCTGTGTGAGGACTTGTGTCCCTTTCTTTTCCTTCATTTGAAATGATGACATTTCTCCATACCTTAATCCTTTGAGAACCAAGTGGGGATTTATTGTGCTGGTTTTTTTTTTCAGGAAATGAGAGGACTGCAAACACAATCCAGTGGCGATGTCAGCGTGGAGGTGAACGCTACCCCTGGTATTAACTTGATGGAAAAATTAAATGAAATGCGTTGTGAATACGAACGGCTTATTGACAACAACCGGAGAGAGGTGGAAAGCTGGTATGAAACCAAGGTAAGGCACAGGGGGGTTTTGGTTACTCAATCTTTCACAAAGAACTGGACCTATCTACATCCAGCAAAGGAAAGGCAACTTAAGATGTATTATTTAAGGGACATTAAATTACTTTAAGCATTTACTGTAACAGCTCAGTTCTGGAGCATCACAGTTACGGGTAAAGCACACAGTCTCTGTGTTCCAGTACCAGGGTGGATCCCACAGAGTGAGCAGGGTGGCATGTGAGAAATACACAGTCAGTCCACATTACATCTTTCTTTATTCTTATTAATTTCTTTCTCAATGCTTTTATAATAACCCACAATTTTTATTAGAAAAAAATGCCTCAATTTTGCATGTGAATTTTTCAGATGGAGGAAGTTAATCAACAAGTCCACTCAAGTGGCCAGGAGATACAATCAAGCAACCAACAGATCTCTGAGCTGAGACGGGAATATCAAAGCCTGGAAATCGAGCTGCAGTCGCAAATCAGCATGGTAAGGAAAGGCATTTGCTTCTGCTTCGCCTGTGACACAGGCTGTAGGTGTCACTGGAATGAAAGAGTGGTTACACCTAGAAAGGGCTCCACCTGTAGAGAACGGGATGTTGGATTACTTATCTTCAAAGATAGGCTTTTTGTCTGGTTTGTGAAGATCTCCATTTCCTCCACAAAATTCAGTTAAACTTGCCACGTTCCCATCAACACCGTATGTTGTTTTCCATCTGCAGATCGACTCTTTGCAGTCCAACCTGGAGGACACAGAGCGTCGCTATAACCTGCAGCTGCAGCAGATCCAGGCCATGATCGGGCCCCTGGAGGAGGAGCTGGCCAGCATCCGCTGTGAGATGGAGAGCCAGAACCAGGAGTACAAGATGCTGCTGGGCATCAAGACCCGCCTGGAGCAGGAGATCGCTCAGTACCGGGCACTGCTGGAGGAGGGACAGCACGACATCGTGTACGTAAATGGACAAAAGACCTCAGCACTGGGTGAAAGCCTGGGTTGCCAGATTACTCACAAAGACAGGAAATTAACAGTGTAGATTTGCAAAATGGATTTGGTACTGAGATTAGGCTAATTCAGCCATCTTGACCGATTGCCTCCCAGCTTTGAGGTACTATACTTTTCTTGGCAAACCCGTTCAGAATATAAATCATGTGAGGAAAAATTTATGCAAAGATTTGCACTACCAATTTGGGGCTGGACAGGGAAACCCACGTACAGAGCATTACCTTTTCCCTGGTCCCAGAAATGGCCAGGAATTGAACAGACAGAAGTCACCTTGGAAAAGACTGCAAGCAGAAAAATGACCGTAGTTTCCCAGCCTTTTCTAAAAGTCTCAGTGTGCAATTGTCCAAAAGTTCAAGCCACTTTGGTTTCCCTTATGCCTGTACATCAGTTGTTGCTAAAAAGGAGAAGTACAGACATGAGAAGTGCAGGCTTCCACACAGTGTCTGTAGACAGGTTTTCTTCTGAGATCACATGCATTTGATTGACTCTTTTTTCCTTTCTCTCTCTTTGCAGAGTCCCATCAGGAGGCATGGGAGGAGGCATGGGAGGTGGTAGAATGGGAGGGGGTGGCTATTCTTCTGGAGGAGGAAGAGGAGGAGGAGGTGGTGGAATGAGTGGTGGATATGGTGGTGGCATTTCCTCTGGCAGCATGGGAGGAGGAATGGGAGGAGGAAGTGGAGGAATGGGAGGAGGAAGTGGCGGAGGAGTAATAGGAGGGGGAAGCGGAGGTGGATGCATGGGAGGAGGAGGAGGAGGAGGAGGAAGGATGTCAGGAGGTGTCAGCAGTTCCCACTCCTACTCTTCATCTTCCCAGTCCCAGTCCTGCAGGAGCGGTGGTGAAAGCCAAGGTGAGAACTGCTGGATGGGCACAACAGCCCCATCTTTACTGATTTATACACCACTAACATTCTCTTCTGGCAATAAACAGCACTGAGGATAAACTAACATTTCTGGAAAGTGTTAGATTTACTTTTATTAAAACTTCTTTCCTGTTGTGTGCAAAGGATCAACTCCACTTAAGAAACACATATTCAATTTCTATGCAATTTTGTGGCTGATATCAGCTAGTCATGTAGATAAACCCCAGCCAGTTTTCTTCATCTCGTTCTTTGCAGAACCTTGTAAATGCCACTGCTCTGTACCACGCTGAAGTTTTCCTTTCTGCTTTTGGAATGCTCATGTTCACCTATCACATAATCACGCTGCTTTCTGCCTCAGAGATTCAATGCCAGTACTGAAGAAATCACTGTTTTCTTTATGTCTAAACAGGGTACGGAAGAAAATCTTTTGACTAAGGATGTACACTGAGGACCCTGCAGTGCAAGACCTTCCAAACACAAATCAACCCAAATTCTTCGCATTCCCCATGCTCCCAAGGAAAGATAGACGCTTTCAGCAGCTCCTCAGCTCTGCTGATGCCATCTACCCAAGGCACCCTCACCAGCTGCATGCTGCTTCTGCCTGCAATGCTTTGTGGCTTCGATCGCTGGCACTTGAGCTGCTTGCTTTACAGATTCAACCTGTTTGTCACTTGGCTTGCTCTGTGTCAGGAAATTGTCACTAATAAATCTTCATTTCTGTCTGATGCAACCAGTGTGTAGGTTTTCTTCCATTCTGTGGGTGTAAACACTTAAAAAGAAAATACAAAACCACGCCAACACATGCATCCGGGTAGAAAAGTTGCTGATACATTGCAACAGTTGATAAAGAAATGTAAAGTTAAAGCACAATTCCTGAGCATTCAGGGCAGTCTATAATCCCCTTGGAGCGTCTGAATTCCCCAGACTCATTTGAAAGCCTCAGTCCATTGCACAGCCACCGCCCAGACCCAGGACAGAGCTCTGCCACAGGCGGTGCAGCTCACACACCCAGCAGTGGGAAGGGACAGAAAGCGCTGGTGCCTGCCCAGCACGGCAGGGGCAGCTCACACGGCCGTCGCAGAAGGCTCCGTTGTGAGCCCGGCCGGGGCGCCATGGCCATGGTGAAGTTTTAAATAAACAGCCCACAGCGCTCGGAGCTCCAAAGGCCAAGAGCATCCCCGGACAGGAGGGGCCGAAATGCCCCCGGGCGCAGACGCGCAGGGTGCACCGCACATCGCACACGGCATGGGCTGAAGGGGGGTTTGGGGCTGTGTGCTCAGGGAGGGGTGAACGAACAAAGGTGTGGGGTTGTGAAGAGGAGCCAGCACCGTTGATTAAAGATCGACGCACAAGGGTGTGGATGGAGAGAATGGATGCAAAATTAATTTCCAGCAATACAGGTGCCACTGCATTGATTGTGGGTAAATCCACTGTGGATGGCGTGTGGATTACTACAGTCACCCGCTGTGCTCATGGCAGAGCCCTCCGGAGGGTACCTGTGTACTGTCACCTCCTGGCCTTGTGTGGTACAACGGCCCCCACAGACGCCAATCCACACCTTCGGTTAACCTTTACAGAGGGTTTCTTTCCCTGGCTCGTCACTACCTCGCTGCCCAGCAGGCACGAAGTGCTGTGTGCTGTAGGATGGAGTGCAGAGGGGTTAGGATAGGCAGAATGGAGACAGCACCCAGTCAGACCCAGGGAACAAAGGGTTTTCAGGAGGAAGTCCTGGTGTGGCCAAGGAATTAATAGTGACTGTGAGAGCTGTTGCTGAGTCTCACAGAGGCTTGGTTAGTGAAGGTGGAAAAAGCAACTCACCGAACATCCCACACTGCACAGAGTGGAAAAAAATACACAAGAGTTTCTTACTCTGTTTCATGTTGCAAGATACTCTCTCACCGTTGGCAAACACAATTCACTGTAATGAGTTCAGATAATGATTATATTATTGCAGATCTAATCTGTGGCACTGTATCTTTTCATCAAACTTACATTTTACTGCATCATAGAATTTAAGGACGTATTCTGAGAAATGGCAGTTTTTCCTCTGAGTCCATTTAAAACACCTAAAATAAAATTAATAGCTGTTTGACAGGAAAAGATTTAATATGTTTTCCCTTGCAAAATACTACTTCTGTGGCTGTCAATTTGTTTTCTTCAACAAGCAAAAAGACTGCAATCACCACTCTGCAATTTCAGGACCCTCCTCAATGTAAGCAGTGACAACAGAGGAAAAGATTCAGTGTAAAGTTTTCTTCTACAACAGACAGGGGGATGCAGTATTTAAAAAATAATAATTCATTTCAGTTAATTAAAGCAGATTCCTGCATAGCTAATGTAAATTTCAAATCCATTAAAGAATGAGGAGTCCCTTGGAGGCTGCTGCTCTTACGAATCGCTATGATCACAGGAGGAAGACAAAAGCTGAAAGACTTAATTTCACCACACTGAAGGAGACAAAAAACCAAGGTGGAGCCTTCATTAACTCCGATTACTAGTGATATATCGTCAGACTAAGAGAAACTATGATGTATTATATTATCCAGTGAAATATCCAACAAAGAGCCACCCACATAAAATTACAGCGCATGCTTTGTGTGAATCAACAAGGGCATACTTGGACAGAACGGTAATGCGTCGCACTTACCTCAGCCCCAAAAGAAATTCCCTTAGCACATCGCTCCTGGCACAGGCACCATGGGAAGCTGCACTCCTGGCAGTGACACCCACCCAGCAGGGTATAAAGAGCCACCACCAGGACTGAAGGCTGCACTTTGATTTTCTCTTCTGAACTGTGCAGGGCTTTGCATTTCGGGCTGAATATCTACTCACTGCCACCATGAGCTGCAGCATCAAGAAGACATCTACTACCTGCTACCGGAGCGGAGGAGGCGGAGGCGGCTGCGGTGGCGGTGTCTCCAGCAGGAGATACGCCTCCTCCATGATAGGGGGGGGAAGCTACGGGGGGGGCGCTTGCAGCTACGGAGGGGGCATGAGCTCTGCCAGCCTTGCTGGGGGCTATGGAGGGGT